GATCCTCACTGTGCCTGGTTGGAGACACTACAAGATATGGCTGCCAACCGATGTCAGTGGCGTTCTTGTTGTCAGTTTCTGTCCAGATTGCTTGAGTGAATATCTGGAGGTGTAGGCACCTCGGAGTGATTGTGTTAAGCTAGCACTAAGTCCCTCCCCCACCCACCTTTATTCTTTTCTTCACAATAGGGCTTTCAAATAAGTCATGGTTGTACGGCAGTGAAGCATCGGTGTTGAACACTGATGTCATGCTGTCGATGATGGGTAACACATGAGACTCCGTCTCAGCAGAGGCTCTTCAAACACCCTCACTCACTTTGCACTCATCATCCGTAGCCGATGGTTTCGACATGCTCATTTTCCAGGTTATCCTGGCTGGTGGACGTGTGGTCTCAGCCGCTGAGGAAGTTTGGGCGCGTGTGCCTCCTGCTAAATGCTCTTAAAACGGTTTTGTGTTGTACGTTGTACTTCCTGCCGATCAGGAAAACTAAAATATTCTGTCAACTCACATGGGCGTATTCGACTTCAAATACATTTTTGAATGGTGTGTAGTTTAAGCTATGTCCAAAGCAAGTGACTAATCAGCGGTTGAGCGTTGTAGACCAAAAGCTTGGTTACAGAGTGATGCGCTAGACCACTAGACCATCGTGGGGGAGAAGTTCAGTTTCTGTGCTTGCTTTTACAAAGTCATTTGATTTCATCTTAATCATCGTCACTGACACCAACACCAGAAGAAAACGGTGGGGCTTCACTACCCTATCGGTTTTTTGAAATGAAGTTTTAGTGTGGAATGTACGAAGACCAAGAACAAGGAGACGTATGAGTCGTTTTTTAGGTAAGGCACAGTACTCACAACTACATTTTGGGCACAACATGTAGAATTAGATTTGAGTGGACACCGGATTGCAGAAAGGTAATATGTGGAGCGTATGCTGGGTAACTGAAGTTTGCCCGGATGACTTTAGTGGGTTTTTCATCGATCTTGGAACATCCAGCTGGCCTAGTTGGTGACCAAATGTTTTTTAGTTCCATATTTCTGGGTGGTTCAATACTTGCTACTTGTAGGAAGCTATTGCACTCATTAAGTACCCGAATGTATTGCGAAGTTAGCGCCAGTTAACGCATCTTTTTGTCGACTTCATTACGTGCCCCTCTGACCACCTATTGTCTGTACCGTATTTCATCAGCCAGATAGGTTCTCAGATTCCTCCGAGGATATACTGCATGTCGGTCACGATTCTCGTAGTCAAATGGGAATATGCTTCAAAACGAAAAAGCGGAATTTGAGGGACGGTCGCTTAGATATCTCCCCATTGATTCGGTAAGCGCGCTTAAAACAACGAACCCGAGCACTGTGTCAAGTTTTTCGACTGTCCTATCACGTTAGACACCTGAGTACCTGTGTTGACTGCACACCACAGAGCAGTGGATGGCGTTGTCAGGTTTGTGAGTGTTTGATAACCAGGTGGTAAACAAAACCACATCCTTTTGTCGTGCAGCTGAGTCTAAAATCTGAAATGTACCGTACACAGACAACAAAACTCTTCGTAGATCTGTAAAGTGTTGCTACCAGACTGGATAGACTCGAGTCCTAGCTTCATGATTGCGGATGAACCGCAGAAGAATTCATGCACCTGGGCAACTGTATCGGTCTCGGTGGTCCCGCGAAATATGGTATTTCCATCCGGATTGGGAAGGCCAGAGCGACTTTTGTGAACCTGCGTCACCTGTGGTGCAGGCGTAACATCAGCTCCTCTGTCAAGGGTCGAGTTTACAATGCTGCGGTACGCTCCACATTATTATACGGGTTAGAAACCGAGGATTTTAGAATTTCAGTGTTTGAGCATCATTGTCTTCGGAGCATTACCGAAGTCTGGTTGGAACACCGGATTAGTAGTGCTGAAGTACGTCGAATGGTATTCGGAAGAAATAACTCATGCACAATAGATGACCGGAAGGTTATGCTGGCTTGGTCGTGTCTTCCTATTGCCAGTTGACCTATTTCCCCGAAGATCCTTCTCTAAATCATTGACGAAGGAAATTACGGCAGCTATAACCACTACATGGTTTTTACGACCGATGGTTTTGATTAATTTGCTCTCATTCCTTGTTCATGATTTTGGTTGATCTGCTGAAAACTCCTCCTGGTCCTCACAGGCCGCTTATGGATCAAAATCTCAACCGAACCTTGCCTAACCTCCTCACACTCGTGACGTGCATTTCAGTAGTGAGCATCCTCTCAGCAAGGAATAGCTCGCAGGACAGACCGTTTTTGGTGGGCCTTCGAGTGAGGTTTGATGGTATAGCGATCGACTGAATGAATGGGTTCACGTGGAATTCATATACGATAGGGCAGATACGAAACTCCGAAAAAGAACCCACAAGATGGTGCATTTATAGGTGTGTTAGTCCGTCAACATTTCGTTTGGCTGTCTGTATGGGCGGAGTGCAATCTTCGAATCAGTTGGTAACAGGTGCATTCTTCAGGTGGTGCCAAAAGTGTGCACGACCAAAGGGAAGCTCTTATACCTCGGTCTAACGATCTACTGAACTTGTGGGTTGCATGCATGCCTGTAATTGTCGCATGGTCAATGTTTATCCCTTTTTTTAGGAGTCCAGCTGTCCGGTCACTAGTTAGCTGGAGGCGTGGGTTGTGCACGCTATCGACAGTTTGTTTCAGTTGGTGAAAAGTACCGCTCTTATGGGTCCTTCGAACAGCAACAGTGGACCTCACGCGTGCATACTTATTCGTGTGAACGGGTAATCCAATGGAGATACTGCTGAAACTCTCATTCGCGATTTTCTCCTGACGAATATGCATTGTAATCTCCTCTTCACAGTTTACTTGGATCTACGTCTGAGTTTGTGTGAGATTTTCCCTTCCTATTGTGATTCCTTATTCGTTTAGAGATAGTTCGGTGGTTAAGGCGCAGACTTACAGACCATAAAGCCCGTGTTTCTATCCCCTCCCCACATGTGCATCTCGACTGCTCCGTCTAGGCTTGGGCAAACTGGCAGTATCCCAGCCATCCTACCACCTTCGAGTAACGTGGCAACTAGGCACCGAAAGGGTGTTGCAGCTGAACGATCAGTATATTTTATTAATTATTCACATCATGCATTTTCATGGCCCTTCGTAAGCAGTACTTTGCACTGGTCTGTGTCAGCTGCTATAACGGAAGGTCACGTAAGGCGATTATTTGGTTGCAGGTTACAATCAGTCAACGTTCGTTGTTGAAGGCCATACTCAGTTTGCTGACTACTAGCAAGTCATTCCAAAAAGGCAACACAAGTGAGGTCTTTCCAACAATCCATACCCCCGCAGCAAGAAACTGAATAAATACTCCTGAATACCATTGGGGTCGAGTTACCAACAGGTCTGTTCGAACCCGACCTCTGTCTCTCGACTTTGCCTGTCTATTCTTGGGCAACCTGACAGTATCCCACCCCTCGTGTTTCTCTCGGATGGCATAGCAGCTGTGCACCGAAAGGCTGCTATAGCTGAATGGCTTTTCGTGAATACCATTATCACCTGCTGAAGGGGCAGTTTACCGTGTGTACGTTTATTTGGTAGGCTTATCACCACTTTGAAAGCAAGCAGGACTGTACGTGCCTCGTGGATCCCCTTACTAAATAAAAGCGAAGTCAATACCAAACGAATCCAGCAGGGAATTCAGAGTAATTATTTTATTTTGATTGCTTCAGAGTCGGACGTGGAACGCACCCAGAGGGGCTAGGCTTCAGGGTCTCAAAACTGTTTTTGAAGTGCCTGTTATCAGTGGTTAGAGTGCAAATTTACTAGCCGGGTGGTCCGGGGTTCGAACCGGACCTCTGCCTTTCGACTTCCCTTGTTTAGGCTTGGGCAACCTGGCGGTATCTCAGTGTTTAGGCTGGGCAACCTGGCGGTATCTCAGCTCTCGTGATTTTTTCATGAAACAGGACTTTCGATACCAAATCAGGAGACTATCTGGATAACACGACTTTAAGAGAAACAGGCCCAGAACGAATCTGGAGTCAAATATGGCTAACAATCTTTATTTTCATGCCGTTACTTGGTTATGGGCCCGGTAGTTAGGGCGCTAGGCTATTGACTAGTGGCTTATGGTTCAATACAAACTCTACCCTCTCAGCCTTCCTTCCTAAGTTTGAGCTTTCTGGCGATATCTCAGTCCTTAGGTTAATCAGTCTTACATCCTCTCAAGCTTGTACTAACCATGTGTCGTCATACCCCTCTTTTCCGGTGGTATATATTATGAACCAGTGAGTCAATGACCGCATTATTACGGCCACTGAGCCTAATGCGTTGACTGTCACTGGTTAAGGCATCCCTAAGCCGACTGATGCTGCACAAAAGCCAATTAAGGCTGCTCAACAGAGTTTAACGTGATATGGTTTGGATTCGTTATTTTGTAAGTTTCCACTTTGAGGGACCAGAAATATCTAATGGCATTGGTTTATACCGGTGCGCACGATACAACCTGATTAGGTAGCACCACTGTTTTCTTCGTTTCAGTCTTTGCGGGCGAACCTGCCGGGCCAGGGAAGCCATGCCCTACTGAAGACCGTAAGTTAGCCATTGATAGCATGTCTTGTTTGATCCCATTTTTGTCTCAACGATCGCATTTTCGATTGAAGACTCCGTTTCCCTCTAACTGCAATGAAGTCGGAATCCTGTTAGTTCTGGATTTTGCGTCCTCCGATCCCTTTTCGGGCAGCTGCTTTTTTGACTCCAAGTTAATAAAACGTGGTCATGCCATGCATTAGCTTTTCTAAGTTTGATTCACTATCTTGTGGTATTGCTCAGCTGCCAGAAGCTGATAGTACCTGTAAATCAGGTTTATCCCGGTTGAATTGCCTTTTCTCTGTCTAATACATACACGTAATTTATCTGTAATTTATCTCCTGATTTAATCAGATTCAGTCGTGTCGAATAGACCCACCCTCGCACTTTCAGCAGTGCACTAAAAGTATGAGAACTCAGCTTGGAGTCTGATGTCCTAGCCCCTGTGAGATGTCTGTTTAGATTTGTCATATCTACGTTCAACTCATCCATATGTATCCAGCTTCCAATAGGCTACTTATTTCAACAGTTCAACGATCACCCATTATACCAAAGCCCTGGGTTTCTCAGAGCGGCGAAAAACCTTCCGAGACCTGTCCAACTTGTTTCAACTACACATGTGATGGACAAGGTCAGCTACAAAATGACGAAGCTGATAAATAAAAGGCGGTAACCGCGGGCAGCCGTATTCTCGGGTCTTGATTAAACACTGAGTTTTATGTTACACCATTTGATGTACAATCATCACCCCGCTTGCCAACGGTGTCATTCATTGTACCACTCTACCCACGAACCATTCAGTATGACTGTGGATAGACTTCTTTCATAGTCATCCACACAATCTATCCCGAGGTAGCTTATGTACGGTTGAGAAGATAAGAAAGAGTCATATCCATCTGGAAGATCGCCGGGTTTTCCACCTCACCATTTTCCTGGTCGAAAAGCTCGACCTTTAGTTTTGACTGGTCGAAATTGTGGTCAATTAAAGCCCCGTTGCGCTCGGTCGTTATAATCCATGTGTTCCATGGATAGCCCGAATAGCCTATCCACCGACACAGTCACGGATGTATTGGCCACCTACCCCAGTTTGAATGTGATCCTAGTTGTGTGTAAGCATAAATGACCGGTTTTAACGAGCATCCGCAACATTATCTCAAACTGTGTGGTCTCAGTGTCTGATGCATAAAATATAAATCCCAGGTTAGGCTGGACCATAAGGTACGTCAAAAGATTGGAAATACGTCTTTGAGAATATTTTATCCATATAATTTCCAATGAATCTGATAACCCGATAGCAGGCTAAAGGAAAATTGGGCTGAGTTCACCCAGGTTTTAAAGTGCTGTTTCCTTAATTACACCATTTAAACTCACCTCATAGATAGTGTGAACTCATCTTGGACCAGTGCAGGTTGTTTCAGCATCCAGTTGTTACTGTTTGGTGGACACTGTCCAAGCCTGCAAAATCGCCGTTAGCCATTCTGCCTACGGCCTATTTCTGACAGTGGGATAAGATCATCCCGTGTGTCGTTGTGATCGCTTTCACGCTACCTCTAACCTCAGAACATTTGCCCCTGTGTCAAATGTGCCGTTGTTTTCACGCTACCTCTAACCTCAGAACATTTTCATGGCAAAGCTTTACTCTCTTTGCTAGTTTATGCTATGATTTTGTCAGCAGTTGGAATATCAAGAATTGACCAGCAGTCTTCGTATTTGTTAAGTTTTGTTACTTTGGGGGGGGGGCATGATTTCAGCTAACGTCTTCCGTCTGAAATTTGCATTGAAGTGCGGTAGACCCTTATCCGTCAATGTGGGTAACATTTTAAGTAACTCCAGTAACCTTACAATCACCATCATTTGCGTTTATCCCTCCGGTTTGCTTGCTAGTCTTTACTTTAGTACATTTCCTGGTCTTTCCGGTCTTCCATATTCATCCAAGCCGTGTTAGTCATCCACTTGTGTGCAGTAGCTGTAATTTCCTAATGTTGATTGTTTCTACGTTGCCCAAATGTGTTTGATTTGTCCTTCCTTATATCCCCTACAGTCAATATGTATCGTCGTGGTGCCAAACGTTGGAAGAAAAAATATTATCTACTCATGGGCCACAAATTGGTCGGTCGTCGTTTCAATCGTGTAAGTTTTCACTGTCTTACTCCGTGTATTTCTCACTAGGATAGTGGTTATGGATTTGAACATCATGTCTGTCCGTCCAGCTCAGCTCAGCTCTATTGTGAGTAATTTGGAGTTAATCCAACCGCTGCTGAAAAAAATCCGCAGACCACTTTACTCTTTCATCTTTGCCCAGGGTCGTCAAAAGTGTGAATCTCATTGATCCAGCTGCAGTCTGCTTCACGCCACTCGCATTTATCTTGACAGCCTACTAGCTAGCACACCTTAGATTTCTCGGAGTGGTAGATAGAGTCTTTGGGTACAGCCATTGCTGTTCACTGGTGGTTCTTTCTTCCTTCTTCTGTTTGGGTTGTCTGTTAGCCTTATCTTCGTCTACATAATGACGGACAGTTGGCCACTAGTCTTTTGTTAGTTTATGACTAGGTATCTTACTTTTTCTGCTTAACTTCGACGGACCGGGGTTATTAGTGGCTGTGTGATTTACGGTTGTACGTGACCCGGGACACTACCAGTGAAAAAAGGTCTTCGCCGCGTCTTCCTGAACTTACATGGATACTCATTGACTACCACTCAAATGTAAACGATGCGACAATGCAATTCCATAAATATCGTAATAAATTTCACTTTTCAATAGACGCGAAGCGGATTTACGAGAAATCATACTACTCGCATGTCCCATCGGTGGTGTCCACCGTTGCACGAGGACGCGCAGGGGAGCAATCCGAGTGTTTAGCCAAAGCCTTTGGTTCACATACCCAACCTCAAGACAGCTTTGTTTTGCATTAAACCGCTATAAGCAGTCCACATCTTTGAGCAACGGGGCGAGGTGGACCAAGTGGTTAGAGCGGAGCGGGGCGAGATGGACCAAGTGGTTAGAGCGCGAATTTACTTACCAGAATGTCCGCGATTCGAACCCGACCTCTGCCTCTCGATTTCCCCTGCCTAGGCTTGGGCGACCTGGCAGTATCTCAGCCCTCGTGCCTCCTTCGTGTGACATGGCAGCTGTGCACCGAAAGCGTGCCACAGCTGAACGATTATTTTTTAGAACTATCTTTGAGGGGCATGTGCCACCCCCAGCCTCCAACCTATAGGACCAGGAGCCTGTTTTAGTCATACTTCTACCCACTGAATAGCCTGGTTTGAGATGCTCTGTGAATGTCATATGCAAATTCAACTTGATAAGATGCTAAGATTTTAGTGGCTACACAGAGCTGTTTGTTTTTCTATGGAATTTTGAATGGTCGCCATCCGACAACATTGTTTCTTTCTTTCGGGGACTTGTCCCACTCTCCAACGCAGTGCGTGATGGGGTTAAAAAGTACATAAGTTTCGTCGAGCATGTGATATGTCCATCTAGATGAATTGCGAGTACTCCTGCTGACGGACGCTTTATCTGCTCATTTGTGTAACAACTAGCCGTCGTCATTACAACGTGATATGAACTGCCTGTAGTGGCAAAATTAGATTTGAAATATTGTTTAACCCATGGTCATAGTCTTCAACGTTTCCGTTCAATGGATTCCTTGCTAACCTCGAACTGGCCTGTTTTTCATCCAATATGTTGCATGAGTGTGTTTACTGATTATGATTTGTAATCCAGTGATGAGGGGCTTTGATAACAATGTTGGAAATGGGTGGAAACTTAGCTTCCTTAAACTCGAGACAACTCAATGGTTAAGGTTTGAGATTACCGACCGGAAGATCCGTGATTCGAACCCAAGTTCGGCATCTCGACTGCTCCTGCGTAGACTCGGCGTCGTGCTTCCCTCGGGTGACAGGGCCTAGAAAAGGTGTTGCAGTTGAACTGCTATTATTATTTTATTAATCACTACAGAGACGAGAGGTTGTGGACTGTGAATTGCAAAAGTGTTGAATGAGTGCAGGTACCACCCACCGCATCGGGGAACTTTCGCTTACTTTTAGGAACTTTCGAGTCACCAACAGTTCGGAAGCAACACACAGTATTAGTTGTGCTGCAAGGAAGTTGGCCCCATGTTGAGCCTTGTTAATGAAGTAATCGTACTAGCTGCTCAGGATTTATTAGTTGTTGATCGGGTTCGCTTCCTACGCAGAAACCACTCGATCCTACTCATCAACTTGCATGCTGTTCACAGTGCTCCACTGTTGGGGTTCATTGGATTTTCTGGTTCTTTTTTCGCATTAGTGATTACCCGGACGATGTCCCTCACATTCCAGCAGTCAATGTAAATACGTTGGACCATCTTTTTTCATTGGATTTAATAACATTACGCGTTTTCTCACAAGGACCAACTCCTAACTCGAATGTGCTTTCCAACAACTCCGATGTGTTCACTTCGCATAAGCAGATCTCATTTAACTCTTTAGATCTGCACATGCTGACTCTCCAGCCATCTGATTTTCACAGTCTGCTTCATGGATGTTACTGCAATGATGATGTTCACGAGACAGCTTCAGCTCACTATCGCATTCTCCTGTTTGTTTGTTTATTGAGCTGTCCTTTTGATTAGAAATGTGTCATCCTTTTAGGTAGTCCGTTACCTGGGTGATGAGTGCGTAGCAATATAGCTGCCAACATCTCCAAGTACCAGGCGATTTCTTGATTTTCTATTATTTATTTGCGAGTGTCTGAGTAGCTTTCCAACTCTGCTGTCCGGCTGAAGCTTTTTATATCAAACCCGGATGATTTTCTTGCTTACTGAAGCGTTCGCGGGAGATATGCAGCTGATGAGCCCCCTGAAAGTAGGAATCTATTAGTTGACGCGACAAGTATTATGATGATGCTTTGAGAGTTGAATGATAGCTGTGGTAACAGACTCTAGTGTTGCGCAAACGGTCTGGACAAGTTTGAACATGAATCCATAGCCTCTATAGATTCGTAAGCACTTTTGGGTGTTTACTATGCATGAATTGCACCAGTGCTCTAAGCAGCGTTACAAATTTTCTCCTTTGTACGTAATGAACCCTCTGTGGTGATCGTATCAATTTTTCTTAACCTTTCAGTATTCCAGTGCAGTGAACCTCCCACTTTCTTCCTCTCCCTGAATAGGAAGCTTCCACTCTGGAGCGTTCGCTTTGTCCTGGTTCAGCCTAAAGGCGAAAGACCAGACCTCCAAAACAAACCTGAAAATACTATCAGTTTTAGCGCTGTTTCCTCCAAACAAGGGGGCTTCTCTCCTAAAATGTCGACGTATGCGAGGACTACTTTGCACAGTCATTGATTGAGCTACGTGTTAAGCTGAACTATCTAGATTTCTGGTACTTTTGATAGCCCAAGTGCCAATGGATAGTCCGTGTGTAATACAGTAAATCGTAAGATGTATCGTGGGGCATAAGCACAACGGTGGTTGGTCAAATTTTTTTAAATTTAATGCTTGAGATATTTCAACCCAGTGCGAAAAGTTCGCTCGATGAATCCCGTTGTGTGGTCCGCAATTATGCTAAGTGGCCCAGGCCCTCAGATAAACATGTCGCGAGAAGCAAGATGTTCTCGATCTTCTCAGGCGAGTGATCATTTAGTTTAGTCGAAAGGACATCATTGGACCCTACTCAGCTAACGTTGGCCTGTTAACGATTGTTAGGGAAATCCATTTGTCACACGAAGCCTTGGATTTGATCGGTCCTTACTGAACAGGGACCTTCGTTTCATAGAGGACCACTTGGTCATTCCTGTGGGTAGTCCTCGTTAGGATGTACTGATGTGTGTTGTTTTCCGCTTGGGCTGCCGAAGGTTGTTTTGTTAGTTCTTCGCTTCTCATGGTTGGCATCGCTTATCTCCCAAAAGCAAAGTCTCAATGAGTGTCTTAGGTTTGCAATGGGTGGTCATTTTGGTTTGATGGATCCATGCAGGGAACCATGTCAGAAAACCAAACCGTATCCACCTGCTACCCGCCCGCGATTCTGCGCGAGCTCCTTCCGAACGGAAATCGTGACGTACTGAAATTATGTGATTCTTGTTAATAATAATAATAGTAGCAATATTAATAGGTAAATACGCGATACACTCCCATCACTGCTTCCAGTACGATCTCCCTCTCCTAAACTACTCTTCCCAATAGTAGCAATATTAATAGGTAAGTACACGATATACTCCCATCACTGCTTCCAATACGATCTCCCTCTCCTAAACTACTCTTCCATCGCCATACCTGTTACTTGTCTTAGTACGAGTATGTATGCTGGAAGTCATCGCACAAAGTGCGTGAAACTCTTAACGCACTTCACCTAACTCTGCCAGGCCATAGGTCTCAGTGTTTCTGGCACGGGAAAGGAAACGTTATTTGTAGCTCTGCGTATTTAGGCTTACATTTTCACTCTGACGTACTTCGCAACTATCCTTCTATTCGCTTAAGCTTCACTTTTCATTTGTTGCTTGATATCAGTCTCATCATCAATATAAGGTTTATTTTCCGGCAGCTCTTACTCAAGGTCCTGGACTGGCGGGTTATTTGTCTCCATTTGAATGACTTGCCATCCAAATAGAGCGGTTTTATTCCTCTCACCCTTACCACCATCATTGTCAGTTGTGAGGTGTGTGCATGTCGTACAGTAGTTGTAGACTCGTTTATCAGTGGTTAAGGAAACTGATGGGGGCAAGATGGTTCAAGTGGTTGGAGCGCGAATTTACTGACCGGAAGGTTCGTGGTCCGAACCCGACCTCTGTCTCTCGACTTCCCCTGTCTAGGCTTGGGCAACCTGGCAGTATCCCAGCCCTCGTGTTTCCTTCGGGTGGCATGGCAGCTAGGCACCGAAAGGGTGTTACAGCTGAGCGAAGGAAACCGAAGGCGGATAGCTACGCATTGAAAGCGGCAGTTGCTATCATTGCCACGTGAATCAAGAAGTGGTAGTGAACCTGTAATCGGGAATATCTGGAACAGAAGTATACAATGGAGGCATCAGCTTGAATACACTCGCGCGATTGAGCACTGATCCCCTACGGGCTATTGAAAGCGGCAGCTGCTATCATTGCCACGTGAATCAAGAAGTGGTAGTGAACCTGTAATCGGGAATATCTGGAACAGAAGTATACAATGGAGGCATCAGCTTGAATCGGGCGATTGAGCACTGATCCCCTACGGGCCGCAATGCACCTACACCGCATCTGGGTAACTACATTTCTCCAGAGTGTTGTTGCCTGTTTTGTTCCTGGATGTTAAGCAGCCCATTTACTTTTGGTATCCATACCATCATAAAGCAACAGAGATTACATTTTTTCAACTGCGACTCTGTCCAGTTCACCGGTTCTCACCTCATGTTTCGTATTGACTTTGTTTTCCTGTAGAATGCCCAGTGTGCCTATTGCCATGGCCGTATTTGGGGGCTGGGTCAGCCGGGATTCAAATGTATCGGATGTAGACTGCTTTTGCATCGACGATGTCGTGGATGTATCAGACACAAATGTGGGGACCCCATGGATATGCCTTTTTACCCAAACAATGTGACTGTTGATAAAGTCAGTACACTCGTGCCAGACATATCCAATGAAGGTGACCGTACCACTCCCGTCCCGATGCCTTCATCCCAGCCAGACCCGTACTATTTGGGTAGTGACCAATCGAGACTAAAGGCGAATGAACAAAGTGAGCTTCCCCTTGTTTTTTCTAGATGTTTTATCGACTGAAACTTTATCCGATATCTCTAATGACTGCTTGTAATCTGACTCTCCCTCATTGCATTCCTGATGCTGACTGACGCACAGCATCCTTCCACTCTGCTACGCGACGGTACACTGACAATGCCAGCTTAATTTAGGACAAGTAATTCGCAACTAAATTACCAAGCCGAGTATGACTCAATCACCAGTATCCGATCTAATTTTGTTGTGAAAACGATAATTATTTAGTTGAAGCCGCATAGTTAGGGACCAGGTAACCTCATGGGTAGAGAAAGTATACAAAAGATTCGTTCTACGAAACCAGACCACTGACTCCCGAAAAGCACAGGTACAGCATAACTGTTCATCAAAGGATCAGTGTGACTAGGTCTACACTGAATTCAGTCCGTATGACTTCCCGCACACCATACGTATCTGATTTACGTGTCGGATCTAGGTGTTTCTTGTGGGAAGATACAAGCTCTTGGTTTGGTCGATTAATTTGGAAGGGCAATTCTAAGACCCTTGAGCTCGTGTACTGTTTCAGGTGATTCAAAACTCCCATTCTAATTTGCGGGTGTGCACACTAATATCTCATCATCGTCATCATTATCATAGATAGCATGACATCAATGTTCGACACCGACGCTTCACCGCTGTACAACCATGATTTATTTGAAAGCCTTATTGTAAACAAAAGAGTAAAGGTGGACCTTATTTGCCGATATAATGTGTGGTGATGTGGCCTCTGCTACGTGGACAAAACCTGGAGATACGGATGAGACTGAAATATCATTTGTTGTCAAGGCAACAGGGAACTGTCTTCTGCTCTTCCATTATTGGGTCAACAGAATGTCGTATTCATCCTACACGGCCGCGGAATTACTCGCTTAAACTATCCTAATATGAACTCTCTTCACTATAGTCAAGATCTAGCTTGGAAAGGCCAATCGAATGGCGATTCGGCTCGTTAAGTTCGGTGAAAGTAGCTTGACAAATTGCCGAGTCTTCGCTTGAAATTTTGAACATTCCCGGTGTCTGGTGTTTGAATTAGCCAGCCCCTCCCATAGAAGCTCATCTTGTACACGACCCTTGTTCATTCGAATATAAACGTCTATTGCACTGAACTCAGTGGTGATGGCTTTATTAGGCGATTGCTGTTTTGTCTGAAGCAGCTCGGAGGGCCGTGTGGACTTTCTGTTTTCACACTTAGCTCCGGAGTGGAAGCCCTCATCCGTTTGACCGGGCACCCAGATTTCGCGTTTCGTTCTGCAGTGCATATCTGTAGAAAACCCCAGGTTGTCGCCGGCTTTCGTGAAAGGCTGGTTGGTCGGAGTCCCTGTGAAGCATCCTCTTACTGCATTAATTACGTTACTACTTTTCCTCGGAGCGCCTATTGATTATGTTCACAAAATTCGCATTTCCTGAAGCTCGGTGGTATTGCGTCATCTCTCAAAGTGAGCTATTTTCTTTTATGCTGTTCGCGGCAGATTCGACTGGCCATGTATGTAGAATGCGGCCTTGAAATATCCTTGGTTCCTGGTCACATTTTTGATGGATTCTTCAATCAAAGCATTTGCTTCGGATTTAGAGTAAAAATCTGGCACCCATTGACACTGTTGACGTCCCTCGCTGTCTGAAGTTTGTAAAGCCACCGACTTCTAGTTTTATATTGTATTACCACGGTTTTTGGATGAACCCCGTTTTTCAAAGCGCTTGGTCATGAGTTTTTTCAAATGCAGAATGTGTTCGGCAATGTTGATTATCTCAGTATCCTCTGTGCTCGCCACCGTTACCATCATCGCTTTTACTTACCCGTGTGACAACTTGGGCAAGTTGGATCAGAGTTCATTTCCGAATGATTTGCTTCGTGGTCGCATGTTTTTGACAGCATTCGAAAGTATGGAAGCATGGGAGTCTACATTACCTGTTGATGCAGCTTTGCGAATGACGGACACACGACAGCAATTAACTAATCCATTCAAAGAAATTGTTCTGGTAGAGCTTGTCTAAGAAAGATCACACACAGCATGGAACTGCCGCTATTCCGCACTGTAAAATGTTCACTCTGAGTTCCCAGTTGCCCTCGTACGATTGCCTGTTTCCAACAAAATAATCCGCTCCCAGGGTGTTTTCTTATCACGGCCTTGGGAAACCGTACTCCGTCTTTCAATGCTCACGCGATGACAAAATGAATCATTCTCGGCCTGTGCTACACAACAACGACTACCCTTTAACAATCGTCGCACGCCCAGAGTGTAACCACATCATTCATTTTGTGAACAGGTATACTTTCGCTTTCTAATGTGCCGCATGTGACTCCCATCAAGACAATCTGCCCTCAGTAACATCGATTGTATCCTGGGCATCGTAGTGCAACTCGAAGATCGTTTATTTCATATCTGTGTGTCGAAATGCTGGGGTGATTCGAGTGTGTTCCTTGACAGTTGGTCAGGAGGCTATTGATCTGATCCTATCTGCGTAGATGAATTTAACTGTGAACCGACGATGTCTGCTCGACTGGAGACAAAACGTTCAACGAACAGATCAACATCCACCTGATCAATCCCCAGTTCACCTCATACTGTCTGCGTTGGTCCAATATATGTTTCGCCATATTCATTATGACTAACTTTAGGGAGCATGGTAAAGCGCATTCCAGAAGGGATGTCCCCCATGTCATTTTGAGGTTATCCCGTTTCACAGAGTTCCCTTGCTTATCCGTTTCTGTGATATTTGATGACATGGAGTAGGGTAGGTGGTATGAATAGCCTGTTATTCAAACGCCATGACTTGCTTTTCTACTATGGTGTGCCCATATTATGGTGATTAATTTATTTATTTCATGTGTGTGGTCTATTACAGTGCGTTACGTTGGCATTTCGAACCCTGCTTTCGTCGATAACGTAAGTTATTGTATGTATTTCTTTCACTGTTGCTCCACAGCATTGAATGCTTCGAACTTTTTTGGGTCGGAGTCAGCAAGATGGCCGCTCACGGTCATCATTTCAACAGTTCTTTCCAATACTACGATTGGGGCTGTACGTATCAATCCCAAGAGAGTACATCGTCCTCATTCACTTGTTTTTTCCTAGATCCATAATATAGGGAGTTTCTAAACCAGTATGCACGCCTCAGGAACTTCATGTATGTTTGACTTATGCTGTAGTCTAGTATCAACTTTCGTCGACATGGTTTTAGACAAACAGATGTTTTTTGGACCTAATCCGTCAACTTTCGTCGATATGGTTTTAGACAAACAGATGTTTTTTGGATAAGCATGTTGGCAACTCATGTGTTTATATATGTGATGAGTCCATCTAACATCAAGTTCCTTAGGAAGTCGATTTTCAGTTGATCCACACAGCACGCTCCTCAGGAAACCAGTGAACTAAATTGTGACAGTGTCAACCGATTTGTATTTTTTACCTCCTTTCTTAGATCGGTTTCTTTTCTCCCAAATTTTGTCCCTTTTTCGTGTTATGATGTGTTAGCCTGTAGCTCCCTTTCTGAGTTACTCACCGTCGTACAAAAGTATGGATTCTTTCTTGTTTCCCCCTATAACCTTACTTCTTGCAGTCAGCGAGTGACCGGTTCCGTAAAAAAAAGATAAATGCAGAATATATAAGCACAGGATGTTTGCGGAAAAATTTTGAAATCTTGCCGTAGTGTCAGGTTGTCGCGACCGTTCTTAATACCGTTCCTGTCATTTCACCCCAGAGGATCTATGACTTGCGTCCGAGTTAGCCCAGTGGTTAAGCTGGCAGCTTGCAAACCGTGGTTCGAACCCAACTTCAGCATCTCGATTGGTCCTCTCTAGGTTTCGGCAACCGGGCAGTATCCGAACCCTCGTGCCTCTTTCCGTTGGCATGGCAGCTAGGCACCGAAAGGGTGAATGATTATTGTAATGTACTACTCATAAGGTTGCTGAAAATCCATCGACAGCCCGCGATCGGTTTCGCCCTTCTTGGGGCTCATCAGGTAGGCGCAGTCCCTGGGTTTCCGTCAACCTTATGTTCTACTTAAAACCAAATTGCACAAAATTAGCGAATATACACTCATTTGCAAACTAATTTGGTTTTTTCGAGAGACTAACCTGGAACCCAGCTGAATCTCCCGTTTATGATGTTCCCAGGCAACTGAATGTGCTGCACCAGGCCGCCTCATGTTTCAGTGCTAGTTTCTCTCTTTTCTCCCATATTCTCCTGTTACTCTTTCGCATTCATCGCTTGCACTCACTTTTTATGTTTGTGACCATGATCTTCAAGGATCACAACGGTCTTCTGGTATCCAGCAAAGAAAAGCGTTAGGATCGTTTACTGTTACGTGACAGTTCATTTGACCACCCGCTGTTTCCAGTCCGGATTATTGAACTTTGACTGAAATGTTAACTGTGAATGTAGAGCCTCCCTCAGTCTCAGAAGTGTTCGAATGTATAGTCCTACTGAAGCGTCACTTACTCTTGTTCCCAATTACCTATCATCTCTGTTCAAGAAAAATAAAGAATTCCTTGAGCAATGTCTGTCTAGCCTGTTTATGTCTATCAGGATGAAACCGACCATCCTGGGCAACTATAGCCATTCGATTATAGTAACATCTTTTAAGTAGAACCTGTGGTGTATGTAGTTACCGCAGAGGTATCATTATGATTGCAGTCGTAACAAGCCCTCTGACGTCACTGAGTCTCTTTGTCCTAAATTGGCATGTGAAACCTTGACCCGTGAACAGCAAGAGAGATTTCGGCCGGATGGAAGTTAAATGGATAACTTCGCACTCCGCCAGGTGTTAGAACATCTACGTATGACCCACAGTCTTGGTGTTTCTTGACTTCAAGGGTGTGTTCCATTCTGTCGATCCCCACCTTTTTTCACTCACCCGATTTCGGATGTCCAGAGGTTCACAAACACTAATTAGTCACACTTTCCTGGCGCGTGAGAACGTATTTTGAACTTTCGCATGCAGGTTTTCTCGCAAAATGTGGTGTCTGGCAAGGATGTCCACTCCATCCATTTTTGTACAACTTCGTTATCGATGAGGTACTGCTAAAAGTGTTCAATTCCTGCTCTGGTGTTCAAATCCTTTAAATCAAAACTAACCACAAGTGCTACTGGATAAACTGATCACCATCATACCATCTTTCGACATACGCCTTGCACCTACAAAGTACAGAGCCATGCTTCAGAACAGGCCGTCTCTGAACATGTTCCTTGCAACTCAGGGAGAATCAGTCGTGGTTGTCGAGGATTTGACATACTCCGGAAGTTATGTTAGCTGTGATAGTACTATGTTCGATGAAGTTATCTCCCGGATCTCGAAGGCCCGAATCACGTCATTTTCGTTGTAAATAATAGAAACTGCGAACTTTGTCCCTCAGATGAGAACTCTTTGTTTAGCGCTATAGGATTAAATGACCTCACAACAATCCTCATAAGATCGATTAAAAATCCTACAATCCACTGCTGGTTTCGTCATTCCCCTCAGTCTCATTGCGTATTTGAACACCAAACTGAAGTTATGTGTTGACAAGCACTCATTTGCTCAGTTAAATTCAATCAACTCGCTCTTCGGCTGCTTACGTTGCCTTCCTGATGGATACCAGAAAGTGAACTGTCCGAATTTTTCATCACGTTGTGAATAATGTGCTATCGAGGCAGCCACTTCGATACGTTGAATGTTGTTTCAGCCGGTGACCTTCATCAGGTGACCTTGGTGTAGCCCATTCGGTCAAATAATATTATAGACGGGAGATTCAGTCTAGTCACCCGTCAACGCCAAATTAATTTGTAAGCAATCGTTTAACTTCAACTTGATGTATTGTTTGTTATAAGGCATGATCCGTGTGCACGCAACACTTTTGTTACATCTTCCTTTTTCTCACCAGACTGTTAACCTGTCGAGTTCAGGAGGACGTGTAAGAAATACGGCGTTCTTGTGGCCTAAAATCTACGGCTATCCCTCTAACATGTCGCTTGTTTAAAAAGTCCACCTTATTTGTGTGAACATAACTGCCATGGATTTCGGGATTTTGGAGACAAAAGTTTTTTTTCTGTGACTGTGAATTGAGGATGCATCTACGCACACACCACACATGGTTTGCCGCTATATTGCAAGAAAAAGCCGCTTTTCCCCTTTATAGCATATCTCTTTGATTTTCGATCACTTATACATCTTCAGCGCCATGGTACAAAATGACTCTTCCTGTTCTCTAGTCTGGTTAATCACGTGGAACTATTCTCTTTTCTGCATCGATGATGGAAACAACAACACAGCCCCATATCTTGCCTGGAGTAGAAAGATTTATAGTGCCCGTAATCCCAACCCTAGGGAAGGTCGTTAGCAGGGTTCTGAGCTGCTTCATTTCACATTTTATCATTTGGTCATGGACACATGATCTGCTACTCAACTAACTACTGGATCAGTGGCCAAAGATGATTCCCCTTTACTTTGTAGTCTGCTTTCGTAATGGAATCGCAAGTACACCTCGTGTAACCTTCAGGTCACCTTGTGAAGTATCGTGAAGCAGGTACTGTTCCAATTAGCAACATAGGGGGAAGGTATATAAGCATGACGCACGCTGGATAAACTTCGAGAGGATTCGAAATTCCGCTAGGCTGTCTAACTTCAACAATGATGGGCAGTTAACACAAACAGCTTGGTAAAATTGGCATTTAACCTCACCTGTTTAACTTTTAAGAATAGGCTTTTTAACACCGGCCTGTACGCTTATTCGTTCCGTTTCTTACCGGTTGCTTAGCCACTAAGGCTTTTATACGCAAAATATCCCCGTCGTTGGCCTCTCATTGTTCCATTGTTACTTTCCTCTTTCTCCAGCGAAAACCGCGCAACCACGTGGAGGAGCCTCCTAGTGACTACTCGAGTCGAATGATTCCAATACGCGAAGATCGGTTGGCTGAAATGTCCGTCATTTCCACACCGGCCACTGTGGGTCAGGTTGGATTGCAAGACTTTAAAATGTTGAAGGTTATCGGCCGAGGAAGTTATGCCAAAGTATTCCAAGTGGAACACATCCCCACAAACCGTATATACGCTATGAAAGTTATCAAGAAAGAGACCATTTCTGACGAGGAGGTAAGTTTTCCTTATCATGCGAAGTGCGTTTTGAAGGACTTCATCAGTTATAGTTGGTTGAAGCTAGTTTTTTTACTCTCTACTGTTTCTTTCGACAACGGAGTGGTTCAGGTGTCATCCAGCTCAGGATTTCGTTCAAATGGGTGTATTTCGCGAATTTCACATAATTTGGATTCGAGTAGAACATAAGGTTGACTGAAACTCGATGACTGCGCCTACCTAATGAACTCCAACAAGGGCGAAATCGGTTGTGGGCTGTAGAAGAGTTTTCACAAACCTTGTGATTATTTTCCTTCAATAAAATGCACTACAATATCTTGCATCTCCTACCATTGGAAGCATGGAGCGGCTTTTGTGCAGTACTTGTAGTCGAAAAATATCATGAAAAAGAGATTCTTCGCCGTCATTATCACCGTTGGCACTAAATCTACGGTTTGGTTTCGCACATCAGTTTGTGTTTGCCCCCCCCCCTCTGTATCACGGAATCCTGGTCGAAGAGAAAAGTGCGACATTCCACTTTTTTCCTTCCAGGATATTGAATGGGTCCAAACCGAGAAGCATGTTTTTGAATGTGCAACCAACCACCCGTTCCTTGTGGGGCTTCATTCTTGTTTCCAAACGGACAGTCGGTAAGTTACTCGCTAGCGTTCATCCGCAACCACGAGCTTTTCGTTTCGTGTATCCTTGGTTACTTTTAGTTTGACGAACAGCGATTTTCGGGGTTTTCGGCCTATGTTGCTCTGCTGCAATGTGACGGCTCTCAATGTGAGCCCAGAGCTCGAAGTAGCTCAGTAGTTAAAGCGCGAACTTACCGGATGGTCCGTGAACCCAAACCAATCTCGACTTTTCCGATCTAGGCTTGGGCAACCTTGCAGTATCTCATTCCTCGTGCTTCCTTCGAGTGGCGTGTCAGCTGTGCACTGGAAGGCTGTTACAGCTGAACGCTTATTATTATTACTATTATTGTTATCGTCGCTAATTTGAGTCCACTCTTGTTTCTAAGTGTTTCGGACCCCTTGCTCTCAGTGGACTGCAGGACACGTATGGATTTTACTACTGGACTGTGATGCAACCCTCCATGAAATATGTCTGGCGGTGTAGATGTGGTAAACAGTACTGATGGCAAGCTTATAGCCCGTTGAGATGTTTGTGGGCATCTTTTGTATTTGAAAACGCGTCGTTTTCCAACTTAGCTTTCATGCTTGTTGGACACTGTACATGGAAGAGAAGCACGGCTTTTGCTATTTCCAGAGTTCACTACATGTGGCTATGAACTCTGATTTTGCCCTTAGAAGTGTAGCGTTTGCCAACTTTTTTTTTACCGCTCTACGCTAACCAGAAACGATTAGCACAGAATCTACCATGACCAGATTCTAGTTATGTGCCATTAGATCTCTTGTTTGAAAACCTTGTAACCACGTGGCTTATTAAACCGATGAGCCACCGGTTTTCACTTTTCCATGGGCCACCACCAAACGTGTGTTGAAACGTGTCGCTAGTTCAGCATAGTTTTTTTCAGCGTCCTTATCGGCTAGTCTCTTCATTTCCTCAGCAAAAGGGCGAAAATCAAGTCCTTTTCCTCTTTATACTACCATAAATAGGTAGCTGCAACTCGAGACACCCAAAAGGCCAACGTATCCTCACGCAAGACATAGTTGAAGTAGAGTAAGTAAGAAATGCGTCTCCCCGTATCTTGCACTGGTTGCATGGCATGACTGACCGTGACATCAAAACAATTTGCTGAGAGGTCGTGGTCAGGCTTTTGCACCGTTCATGACTATCATCTACTCCTAGGACTCTTCGTCGCTTTTTCTAGATTAGCCCAGCATTATTTTAGCCCCACGCACTCCAGTGATTGTTTGCATCCTGTGCGTTGAAGGCCTTGATCGGTAGGTCGTCATATGTGTAGATATTCAATAGGATAGCCGTACCAAGCTATTACTTATACCAAGTTAAAAGTACGCATGGTCTCACTTTTTTCTTCTGAAACAGCGTGATCATTTTTACCGTTGTCATCATCCGTCCTCATTGATTGGTCAGAATCCATAAACGTGACGATGCCCTTACCCATGCGAGTTGTTTTGCACACGTTTAACCGGTCTCTGTTCGCTAATTTGAGTCCACTCTTGTTTCTAAGTGTTTCGGACCCCTTGCTCTCAGTGGACTGCAGGACACGTATGGATTTTACTACTGGACTGTGATGCAACCCTCCATGAAATATGTCTGGCGGTGTAGATGTGGTAAACAGTACTGATGGCAAGCTTATAGCCCGTTGAGATGTTTGTGGGCATCTTTTGTATTTGAAAACGCGTCGTTTTCCAACTTAGCTTTCATGCTTGTTGGACACTGTACATGGAAGAGAAGCACGGCTTTTGCTATTTCCAGAGTTCACTACATGTGGCTATGAACTCTGATTTTGCCCTTAAAAGTGTAGCGTTTGCCAACTTTTTTTTTACCGCTCTACGCTAACCAGAAACGATTAGCACAGAATCTACCATGACCAGATTCTAGTTATGTGCCATTAGATCTCTTGATTGAAAACCTTGTAACCACGTGGCTTATTAAACCGATGAGCCACCGGTTTTCACTTTTCCATGGGCCACCACCAAACATGTGTTGAAACGTGTCGCTAGTTCAGCATAGTTTTTTTCAGCGTCCTTATCGGCTAGTCTCTTCATTTCCTCAGCAAAAGGGCGAAAATCAAGTCCTTTTCCTCTTTATACTACCATAAATAGGTAGCTGCAACTCGAGACACCCAAAAGGCCAACGTATCCTCACGCAAGACATAGTTGAAGTAGAGTAAGTAAGAAATGCGTCTCCCCGTATCTTGCACTGGTTGCATGGCATGACTGACCGTGACATCAAAACAATTTGCTGAGAGGTCGTGGTCAGGCTTTTGCACCGTTCATGACTATCATCTACTCCTAGGACTCTTCGTCGCTTTTTCTAGATTAGCCCAGCATTATTTTAGCCCCACGCACTCCAGTGATTGTTTGCATCCTGTGCGTTGAAGGCCTTGATCGGTAGGTCGTCATATGTGTAGATATTCAATGGGATAGCCGTACCAAGCTATTACTTATACCAAGTTAAAAGTACGCATGGTCTCACTTTTTTCTTCTGAAACAGCGTGATCATTTTTACCGTTGTCATCATCCGTCCTCATTGATTGGTCAGAATCCATAAACGTGACGATGCCCTTACCCATGCGAGTTGTTTTGCACACGTTTAACCGGTCTCTGTTCAGATTAACTCGTTTGTTAGGTTGCATGGCTCGAAATCCACCTTGGTGTTTCGGTTGCTTGTGTCTACAGTTGCGACTCCTGACAGTATCTCGGCCTTGTGCATTCTTTGGATTGCATGGCGGGTATGCAACAAAAAGTTCCTACAACTGAACGATTTTCGACTGTTCCTTTCCAGATTATTCTTCGTGATTGAATTTGTCAATGGCGGTGATCTGATGTTCTACATGCAGCGGAGTCTGCGACTCCCAGAGGACTACGCACGGTTCTATGCTGCTGAGATATGTTTGGCGTTGAACTTCTTGCATGAACGAGGGATCATTTACCGAGACTTGAAGTTGGACAACGTGCTTATGGATAGTGAGGGTCACATCAAACTGACCGACTATGGAATGTGCAAGGTAGGTTCTGTTTGCATGCGTGCATCTTACATGTGGTGGGACTAACGCCTGCCTTAGTTTTGTACCAACGGTAGGTCAACGTGAGGCAGTGTTTTGTGATAATTTATTGTTTGCTTACCTACCTACCCTCGTGCATCTTACATGTGGTGCGGCTAATGCCTGCCTCAGTTTTGTACCAACGGTAGGTCAACTTGAGGCAATGTTTTGTGATAATTTATTGTTTGCTTACCTACCCAGAGAAGAGATTTGTTACTTGTACCACTTTATAAACACAGAACTACCGCAAACTAATTTTTATATCCAAATCCAAGTATTGCATACTTCACATGAATTTTGAGGGGCAAAGACGTCGGCGAGAGCAACTCATTTATGTCTAATGTAGCGCCATCCATCGTTCGATGTGTGCCGATTTTCAACTCCATTCCAAATAACAGTAACCGGTCTCGAGCTAGCCTAACATCGATGAAAAACTGCGTTGAGTCATCATGTTTTCTTGTGTTTCAATAGGCTTCCTTCGTCAGCTTCCTAAAATGAGTGGATTGTTGAAACAGCTCAATGGGAAACCTAAGTGATCCGTTTTACTACCGCTAGATGCAGTCGAACACGGCATTCAACATCCGTTTAATTAGTTAAGGAGAAGGTTTGAAGGTGTACAACCCAGGCAAGCTAATTCCAACGGAAAAGTTCTGTCAGCAAAAGGCCCCTTCTCCCAGTGGCACATTATTCTCATCTGCATGACCTAGTTGTGTGCAAGTCATTCCATCACTTCCTTATCTGCCCGTGCAATCATTCAGAGATTTTCCAACTTTTGGGTCCCCTGTAAAGTTCGCTACCCCGAACCCATATGCTGAGCCGCCTGCCTTTCATTCACTGTGCAAAATGAGAATATCAACTGCATGATAATTCGTTCTGCTGTCCACGGGATTTCACTCTCACTCTGTAACTTCTGTCACCGGAGCGGCAACATTAACTCATCCTACGGATTTCTCTTTGTTCACTTTTCTGGGCCTGTCATTTTTGCCACTTCGTCCTGGTCCCTACGTGTTAAAGTCCTCGTTACTTGAGTATTCACGAAGGGTGGTTTTCTTTCGCGGTCACACAGGTATTTCACTGTCACTTCAATGTTCTAGAATCGCCGCCACCTAGAGTGATGGTGACGAAACGCTTGCAATTCAATTTCCAAGCTTGGCGAACAGATCAACAACTATCTGATCAATTACCAATTGTCCTAATGTTGAACGGTAAACTACAACTAACTTCCTTAGAATCTTCAACAGTCTTGATACGACCCTTGTTAGCCCAGTTCACTGATCAAATGCTGCTATAATGTGCTGTTCCAACGCGACATCATCGAATGGTGAGAATGAATGCGCGAAACCCCTGTCAAACTTGGCAATGGTATTTGTGGAGGTCATCAGCTTCAAATTGGACGCTAGTCTGTGTTAGCCGTCTATATGATATTTACAGAGGATGACGATTTCTCGGGTGTCAGAAGTGATATTAACACGGTGTTTTTCCGTAAAGAGGCATACATCTGAGCCGTTTTTGTTCTTCAGACCCACTATCTTCCAACAAGCCGACAGTTTTACATCTCTCAGTCTGAAGCCAGTGTCCATCAGGTTATTCATTTACTTCGCAGCTAGCTTGAAGGGCCTCTGGGGATAGTTCGGTTTAGTCTTGTCTGAGTGCTTTTCAACCTTTATTTCAGTGCTTCGATTAGGCGATCATTTACTATGACAGAACAACTACAATCTGTCTTCGTGCTAACAAAATGGACTTGTATTCACCTTGTACATTCTATCCTATAGAGTTGCATCCAGATAATACACCAGATGGAGCTTGTTGCATGCAAGTGCATATTGTCTAAGCACCTTCGGCTGTAACTGATGTCTTGTTTGTTTACATTCCAGCATGACGAGGGTGTCCCGGATTAGCATTTCCAGTGAGGGTCGGTCAGCCTATGTTATGGCATCAGGTGTTCGGCCTGATTTGCATTCGTCCCGTTTCGTCTGATGATGAACGAAGCCGTCGTGTGTTTGTGAAGCTTGGACGCTTGTGCCCTTCTTAACTTTTATTCACAGTGAACTAAGGGATGGAATTTTACATTTGGCCCATTAAGTGCTGTTCTTCATAGGTTTCGGCTTCCGTATGTTTTAGACGACATCTGAAAACACTTATCATCAGAGTATTGATGCATGAGCATCGCTGGTGGCTGAAATTTTTATGGGGAATTTTCAGTTGATATCTTGGAGAGGGTCGGTTCTGTTGGTTGTCTGGATGGTTCCGTCGGATGCAGATTTTATGCTGTTCCATGGTTGCAAACGGGCGCCCTGACGGGACAAGCTTCGTTTATAAGAAATCTTCGAAGAATTCGTTTTTTGTGAACAGCTCCGTCCGTGTTCTTTTCTCGCATTGCTGGTGAACCTTGACTTTGTTCTTATGAGATACCACCCATATATTTCAGCGAGTCCTTCCACTTCCTCCATCCACGTTGTGTGGTGATGTAAGTATACAGAAGTTATCCTATTTTTTATCTGTGTTTAAAACGAGTACCTCATTGGAAGGGATTTGGTGGCCTCAGGAATATATGGCGCACACAGTCCATGGGGCAGTGATCGCCTGTGAGATCTGCACAAATTGTGATTCAGCATTGGTTGTAGTGACCGAATCCATGGACCACGGAGAAATCAGTTTGTTCCTTTTCACCTTTCCTCCATGACGTGGCGTAGGGAGCAAGGGTTGTTTCGACATTTTCATCATTGTCGCGAAGCAAATGCCCAAACCATTGTGATCTCGTTTAGTTGTGTTTGGTCGTTGCCGGATTTCGAGATCATGTCAGTATGTGGGAAATAAAGCTTGCGGTGACGCTTCAAGAATTAAATAGAAATCAACGTCTATCAGACCATTGTCTCCGAATGGCGATCCAGCAGACCAGGAAGCAACGAGTTCTTGGGAGAGTGAACTTCGGAGACGCGAAATAACAGCAAGCCACTGAACACGACACTGTTGTGTGAGAAGGATGGTAATGAAAAAGCACAACAACTGACCGAAACGGGAAACCTTTTCTGCAAGCAGTGAACAAGAATGCTCGACCTCTGGGAACCGCAAATAGGCACAAAGACATCGCCCCCATTCTCTCTCCCAAAGGGTAGGATTATTTAGCGAACGTGCTAGGCGAATATGGGTTGCGTCGATATATAAACGATCGCGTGGAAGAGCCAGTGTGTCCGTGAATAAGTTTATGTTCGATTGGTTGGCTTAATGCTATATTGGTGTTATTCGCTGGCGGAGACGTCGAGACCTGATTGGTTGATTTTGAAGCAATCGCAAGCCTCGCAGGCCAAACAGCTTCACGTTGGACCCACCGTTACTCAAACTAGCGTGACTGAAGTAGCTGCCTGCTGACAAGCATACTTCTTAAGGACACAGCGACGTGAGGTGCTGAATTTCTCCTTAAAATCTCTGGAGAAAAAGTGAATAATTCTTTTAGTTTTCTACCCTGCAAGAATAAATAGGTAGTCAGAATGTTAGAACAGCAAACGAACGACCCGAGGGCTGGGCAATGTTGCTCTGTCTACCTGATCGAGCGCCGGTTGTCTACTAATGAATGCATATCAGAAGCTCAAGTATCTGAATTGCCATTGCTCGATGATAGTCAGTTCGGCGTGCTTCGCATTCTCACGCATTCAGCGTTGTTCACGCAGAGTCTTGATGGGAAACTAGAGATGTCCCAATGAGAAGGTAAGATGTTCCAAAGACGCCCAACGTACGATGTGAAGCAGGAAGCTTAGTGCACACGCCGGAAATCTTTAGTTTGTTTTTGGCACCCGCCGAAATCCCTGTCAGGACGTCAGTTATCTTGTGAGAAATGTGCCAAGAGATGTCACAAAATACTCGGCCAAACTATGATCTGCGCAACTCTTGAAAAATGACTCCTTTTCCGACGCTCCGCCTTCTGTCGAACTCGGCTCGGTCACTTCAATTTCTCATTAAATGGTCAAGAGCTCCTAAGACGTTCCCTAAAATGAGAGTTGCATCATATTACGACCAGTGGCATCGATGCCTTAAGGGAGGACTCTAATCACTTGGTGAGTGTGGACTACTACCTGAAAGGGTGTACTCGGTTGTATTTAAGGTTTATCCCGATTCTTCGCGCTGCAAACGGATGCCACTGCATAATTTAACTGCTTGACAAGTGGTCATTGTGTACTTTAGAGTACAAAATCTTCAATCAGTCTTTTCAAAAAGCACAGAAACCTCTGTATTTCAGCAAAGTTGTTCTCCATTACCGGAAGTAATTTCGTGGTTGGCCGTCATGGCTATGTAGCTGACAGTTGAAACATCGCCATCATGATTGCCAGCAACCTCTTTTGGTACACGAGTTTTTCATTTCAATGAAATCTGCGTCAAATCATGGGTAGAGGTAAATCTCAGTTTCAACGTTTCATTAAAGTGCAAACAGAAAGAGTAATTCACAATGTTGAACTAGGGTCACCTTCAATGGTCTGCTCTAGGATGTATTCGTCAAACCAGTTCTCGTGGATTTTAATGTGGCGAGCAGTGAGAGCTCTCGCATGTGACAGACAGCAGCGTGAACTGTCCGCCGCTTGATATCGAACCATTACGAAAGTCTTCTTTCAAGATGGATTACTCAGCGTTCCTACTTTCTTTTTTTTCAGGAAGGGATAATTGGTGATGTGATGACCTCCACATTCTGTGGCACACCAAACTACATAGCACCAGAAATACTCAAGAGCGAGAATTACAGTGAGTTATCAACCGTTTTGTCACCATCTTGTCACCTATCTTTCACATCGTTGAGTCTGTATCATATTGGTATACTCGAGATTCAGCGAATAGCTTAATGAGCTAGAACATTCGTTTGTAAACCAACTCCCGAATGAATCACTTGTTTACGATGTTCTCTGACTGAAGTAGTAGCCAGCCTTTGTCCGATGTGCTTTCCGATGAATAACACACTAAGCGCGGACTTTACTGGGCTACTGTTCCTTCGATGCGCGCTGCTGGCTGGATATAACGAACGTATCGTCAACCGTGGCAGTACGAATCCGTCGTAATCTCATCTCAGATTGTCTTCTGTTAGTGCGCACAACTGAGTTTACTCTCACTTCAGTGGGTCGATAACAAGTACTTCTGACACGGAAAGTAAAGTTTACCTCGTTCCTGAGTTTTGTCTCATTCCGATACTAAAAACTTCACATTCCTTCCCTAGCTGCTACAGTCTGTCAACTTCGTTTTGTCGCTGAAAATTTGACCGCCAAGCTGGTCGGACACGTAACCCCTTTAACAACAATTTCATTCCACTAAATACATGACCGTGTGCCTACCCGAATAGTAGTAGTCTAGCCAAATTCGATATTTCCATCTGGAGCGGGGGAGCCGTAGGAGTGTTTCGTTAACCACCACCACGCTGCTTAAGCGTGACGTCAGCCTATCTCATCGTCATCATCATCATCGACAGCATGACATCAGTGTTCAATACGGATGCTTCCCTACCGTGCAACCATGGTTTATTCGAAAGCCTTATTGTGAATAAAAGAATGGACGCAGTGCTAGCTTATTACATTTATTCCGAGGTAGCTATATCTCCAAACACTCATTCAGGAGATCTGGATGGAAACTGACAACATGATAGCCACTGACATCGGTTGGCAGCCATGTCTTGCAGCGTCTCCAACCAGGTGCAATGGGGATCACGTGGACTCCATCCTGGAGGCAAACATCACCGACAGCACCCAAGCGTTTCGTGATCTCCTTCATAACCCTCTGCCATGTCAACTGTTGGCCACCTCTCTGCTTCAGCCACTCCGAATTAGGTATGGAAACAGCTTTCTCTTCGGCAAACGGTGTTTCGGAATACGCAGCTGACGGACACCACTTTATGTACGTATGTATGTATGTCACACTTCCGAAAGTCTGGGTATACAAGGAGCTTATTATGTTCACGAACCTCTGGGTCACTATTTGTGGGCAAGCCTGTCAAGAAGAACAGACCGGTCAACCGAGTCGAATGCGCCTTGGAAATCCAGGAATACTAGAATCTTGGGTCGCTTATATGTATGGTGTTGTTCTGGCACCTGACGAAGTGTGACGATTTGGTCAACGCAACTTCTACCAGACCGGAATCCCGCTTGCTGCTCTCGAGTCAGTACCTCACTAGCCACCGTATGACAGTGAAGCATAATTGACGCCAAGTTTCGTTGTGACCGGGATCAAGCTGATTCCCCTGTTGGTCACCACACTCACTACGTGCGCGTTTTTGAAAATGGGCACTATCACCGACCCTCCTCAGTTTTCAGGGACAGACTCCTTTTCTCAACTGCAAGCGCTGACTGAGGACTTCATCTTCAAACAATGCGTGTGGAAGGGCACCTTGTCCAGAGGCTCGGTGGCCCGTGAGAGAACATATGCAATCATAAACCTTCGCGGCTGTAGGTGGTCCCACGCTCACCATACAGTGCTCTACTTTATCTGTGGGCTCCAGATGGGTGCCAGCTGGTGGGCATGACAATTGTTCTGAGTATTCGGCCCAACGATTGGGGCGTTCTTCATTTGCGATGGTCACTCCCTTCCGATTGTTGATGGTTTCGTTCACAGTTGGTTTCCGGGGATCGGTCCCACGGAACATCTGAAATAATCTTCGGGTATTACCGAACTTCTGGACCCCTCATTTCCGTGGCGCTCTGTGCGCACCACACTTCAAGGTCGGCTTGCACGCTCTTCTTCACCTGACATCTGACAATTCGTCGCAACAAGTTATGCTCTGGGCGGGCTGGGATATTTCTGCGAGACAAGCAGTGCACTTTTCGGTCTGATATCCACTGCTTGAATGAACCTGGTTGTGTCGTGCCACAGGCACTGCAAAGAGGTGGCAATCTCGTCCCTGTATGAGTTCGCATGTGATGGTGGAGTCTTTGGAGGAGACTCTTGGGGACGATTCTGGTAAGTTCGTCTAAAATCCGGATCTGCCAGTCTTTCAGTTGCCAAGCGATTTGTCCACATCTCACGCGGCGCTGGAAAACGTAGGGAGAAGCGACTCCGGACGAGCGCGTCGTCGGAATCCACAAATATGTTCCAAAACGACTGGCAGTCAGTTATTGACCCACGCCATCGTTAACCGATATGGTCAATTTGAGCGTTTGGCCGGCATGCCCCTGGAGGACACCATGTGGCCAGACGACTTTGGCTATTTCAAAGGTTAGTACTGCGTGAAAACAGCCTGCGATCAGCGCACAGCTAGAGCAATTGTTCGTCGTTGTCCGTACGTACCGAGTCCAGTCCATGTCGACCTCCTAACTGAGTCTCAGATACGTTAAGCCTGCCCACTTCTGCAATCATATCCCCGGCAGCCACCGGTCGGTCACTGCTTGCATCTTGAATCTTGTTTCTGAGACACGGCCCACATCAATGCCAAGCGAGTCCAGTGTGAGAGTAGGAACAGCTTGTTGTCCTGCTTGCTTCAGAATGCGTGAAGATCGATCTGGAAAAACCTGAGGATGTTGGCGCCATGTGACGAGCAGATGCTGCACGCAAAACCGATGCAAGACGAACTGAATCATCAGTCCTAAGTGCTGGGCCTAACAGATGAGGGTTATTAATGGGGTAGGGAGAGGTGGAAGAAGTATGTGAAGGAGAAAGAAGGGAGGCGTCAGCAGTAGCCTGTTTTCGCTTCCCCGCCCTGCTCCATAGAGCGAGTAAGTCAACCCGGCTGATGGCACCAGGTGACGGCCGGTGTAGCATGAGTTAATTGTTAGACGTAAGCATCATGGTTGTACGTGGGCAGGGATACTGTCAGGGCGCCCACATCTAGACAGGAGTATGACTAGGGTCGTCAACTAAAGCCTTTGACTCAAAAGCCTAACAGCAAGTCAGCGGTAGTTGGCGGGAAATGGAAATGCATTACTGTTTCTGCGGAACAAGTCATCACATGTTCCAACCCCCAACCTGGAGGACCAGGAGACTGTGTTCGTCAGATCTCTAACCGTTGACCAACCTGGTATGAGACGCCTTGTGGGTGTCGCGGGGACACCCCACAGTATGGCTCAATGGGTCGCTGAGGTGCGCAAACCGTCACACCACGGTAAGGTCCATTCTCTTCGTGATGAGTCAGCTTATCTGCCACTAGTCGAATTTACAATCCGCGACCGGGTCAGAAGCTTTTTTTGCTGCTCACATTCCGTAGTTTGTGTCGGTTCTGCCCATATTCTCTCTCCCTCGTATGGTGGTTGACTGGCTTCCTCGGGAGCCTTTTTTACGCAACCACGCGAAGGGTGGAAACTAGTAAGTAGATGCCAAGCACTGACTTAGCAACGAAGTATGAAAGCCGTTACTATCAAACTTAGCTGTACTGGTGATTGCCGTCTCCCTGGATAGGGACCACGAGACTGGACATACCAAAGGTCAGAGACTTTTGTAGGCATGGTCTAGTTGCGCGCTCAGTGGCGGGAATGCATCGAGGCTGTTGCTTTTAATTCATAGCTTCCCCTCCCTGTTGTAAAACTTCTGTATTACTCCCGGATTCACCCATCAAGTGTACTAGCTATTGCCTCCGTTGCGTAGCAATCCACCTCTATCTCTTTAGATTATCGGCGATCAAAATTCTAGAGGCTGTACAACAATTACGAGGGTTTGCAGCTGCTGTTGGTAATGACAATGTGCCTACTAACTGGGTCGAACAACTTGGAAATAGGAATAGGACACAAAACCTATTTTGACAAGCTGTAGAGTTGTTTAGTTAATCTGCTTACTAATGGATAGCTACTCTCCTGCCTGGATAACTACTGACCCTCCCCATCATTTCCAATGGGGGCGAAATGACTAAATGGTTAAACTCCGAATTTACTAACCAGAAGGTCCTGACCTCAGCCTCTCGACTTCCCCTTTCTAGACTGGGAAAACCTAGCAGTATCCCGGTCCTCGTGCTTCCTTCGGGTGGCATGGTAGCTGGGCGCCGAAAGGGTGTTACAGCTGAACGATTATTTTTCTTATTATCATTATCCGCGATAGAAACAAAAAGACCTTGCGCGGTTAAGGCATCCGAACCCTTATCTGGGCACCGGTCCCCCACGGGAATGGATGATTATTTAGGCCAGTTATTCTGATCAGAAGCTGGCCAAATTTAAGTTACAAACTTAGTGACCGCGATGTCATACTGGCGATCTGCACCAACGGGATGTAGCTGTGCGACAGTGTGCAGCAATCACACTTCTGCTGTACAGCCGGCGTGTATGGAATGCCAAATATCGGTCAATTTGATGTCCTGCGTCTAGGGTGTATCAATCGATCGATAGTGCGCACTGCTTTGTGTAAACAGGCATCCAGTTACCCCTAACACAAACCTACTTCCCATCTTGTGTTCCTAGTTGAATCTTGAGTTTGACGGTTAGGTTGCTTCAACCCACAGGTCACCACAAACAACGCTACTATCAGACACTGTGGATTTGTGCATTTTGGTTTCGCTTACCCCTAAAACCTACTTCCCATCTTGTGTTCCTAGTTGAATCTTGAGTTTGACGGTTAGGTTGCTTCAACCCACAGGTCACCACAAACAAACAACCTATCAGACACTGTGGATTTGTGCATTTTGGTTTCGCGGCTATATATATATACATAT